GTGCATATTTGGCAGTAATATCATTTCTAGATGTTTCTGTTATCTTTCTGCGCAGGTAGAAAAAATGCAGCATATTTTTAACAATAGCAACGCAACAAACTTCATTTGGAATTCCATTGGAAATTCACTTAGAATCAAGCATCAACAAGAACATGTAATTGCTACTATCAAGGGATAGTGGGAGACGAATGCCAACGATAGAGTTAATAAACAAATCCTCTAGATTACCCCATGGTCATCTGTTGAGAACACTAGAAGTAGAGAAATGTGTGTAGATATGGAAAGCAGAAGAAGTTTCAACTCAATACTATGAAACATCAAAGCATTGGACTTTAAAAGCAGTAATCTCCAAATTTATTCCAGGTGACTTTGCTCAACTGGATTGGCCTTCATTGTGTGAAAAAATAGAGAGACTCAAGCCATCGCAAAAATGGATGCAAGTTATATGGGAACCTCCTTTGCTGGGAACTGTCATAGTTAACACAGATGGTAGCTTTAGCAAGGAAAATGAAAAGCCGGCATAGGAGGGGTGGTTAGGAACTATCATGGCGACCTTATAATGGCCTTTTCTGTGCCCATAAATTGTGTTAGCAACAATATGACGGAGGCTAAAACAGCTGAGTTTGGAGGAAAATGGTGTAGCTAGGGGTGTCAATGGATATTTGAAAATCGACTGAACCGTACCGCACCAAACCGATTTTTAGGTTTCTTTTAAAGAAACCGTACAATTTTATATAAATTTATAACCATACCGATAATTAGGGTAGGTTTTTTATTTCATAAAAATAAACCAAAAAACTATCGAACCGTACCGAATAAATTTTACATGTGAAATATTTATATAGTAAGTTTATAACTAATAAAGCATTAAATTTTTCATTGAGCCTTGAAATTATAAAAACTGTTACAAGCCAACAAGTAATTAAACTCAAAATACTAATTCCTAAAATCTATTATGCTACTTATACTTAAACTAAATTATTTCAAGTATCTTTATTAGCAAGACACAAAGTATTCTAGCGATTATGAGTAACAAACTACAATGTATTGAATATGTTTCCTTTCATATAATTTAGATTTATCTTTTTTGAATATTTAATATAGACTTTATTCTTGAGTCTCAGCTTGGTTAATATCTTTTATTTTTTTTGCTTTTACTATAGTTGATGGATCTATACTCTAGCCATCTTTCATATTTTTTTAATTCATCACCCTTTAAAAAATAAAAATGTCTAGAAAATTTTGCTAAGTCCTATAAAAGAACGTATGTTATCTACTGGTAAATTTTACATGACATTTTAAAAAATACCGAAAATTAACCGAACCGTACCGATACCGAAGTGAAACCGACATGATTGGGATGGTTTCGAAAAGTCTAATTTTGGTTATACATAATAGAATAATCAAAAAATTAGTATGGTACAAATTTTATAAAATAACCGGCTGAACCGAACTATTGACACCCCTAGGTGTAGCCAAAATGGATACACCAATTTTTCGCTTGAACTTAGACTCTATGATTATTGTCCAGATGCTTACAGAAAGAGACTCTAACAACTTGAAGATCAAGATGGTGACTGGTAGAACCTCTAACATTGTTCAACATGCTAGAATTAATATAAAGCATTGTTTTAGAGAAGGCAACCAAGTAGCCGATTCTCTCGCATAGTTGGCCACAACTACAAATCAGAGGATAGTATTCCACTCGTTCCAACAACTTCCTAACAATGTAAAAGGCCCTTTCTTGTTAGATAAATAGCAGCTTCCTAGCATAAGGACTAAGTATGAAAAATCTAATTTTTTCGTCAGTTAATATGTACATAGATTTTCTGAGGAAGGAGGGCTTATGTATGAACCTCCTGTCCTGTTATTTTGGGGGTGATGGAATCACCGTTGTATTTTTTTGAGGTAAAGTATAGCCCCGCTTGTTACACTTTTTGGGAATACAACCCAACTCAGACCTCTGTCTAGAAAATTTAAATAAAAAAAAATCCAATTAAGTTTTGTACGGATAAAGTTATTAAAATAGAAAAATAAGAAGGCAACAACTTGTATGTATGAAGCTGAAATCGCTAATAATCACAGGTCAACCATAAGATGATGAATTTGTTCCTGTGCTATATATAAGAGTTGGTTACGTCCGAAATCCTTACCTTAATCACGGGGGGGGGGGATGTCAAAGACGGGGCAGTGACCAGTGATTGTATTAACATTTCTCTATATATTTTTGGGGAACTAAGGGTGGACTCTTGATAAACTAACTGTTGGGATTTTAAGCTTGTGTAACTTAAAGATGGTGAATGAGAAATGGAGGANATAGCCATTCCCCATTCATGTGGGGGATTGTTGGGATTTTAAGCTTGTGTAGCTTAAAGAGGGTAAATGAGAAATGGAGGGAAAATGAAATATTTGAGTTTTCCTTGGGAAATGGACATTGTCCCATATCGGAGGAAGAAAAGGCTTTTGATGGGTATATATATAATTGTTCTTCTTCTAGCTCTTAAAGAGTTAAGAAAAAGGCAAGCCTCGCGCCGTCGTCGTCGTCGCTCGCTCGGCTCGGCTTTGGCTTTGGCTTCGGCTACGGATTTGGATTTGGATTTGGATTTAGTCAAAGATTCATTGATTGATTAATCTTTTTGGACAAAATTCCTTTCAATTATTTAATTAATTAATTAAATAATTAACGAAAAATTCAATCCGGAATAACCCATGACCCGCGACCCGGTTCGGTCAGGCCCGTTTTCTTTCCCGGATTATTTTAAATATATTTTTCCCGCAATATTTCAAACACCCCTTTTCCAACAGCCATGGCTGTTTCTGAAAGGTTGCAAACCTTTTCAGAAACATTGCCATCAACTCTATAAATAGAGTTTGAATCCCAGAATCTTAACTTATGAAATTTTCTGAGCTTCTTCTTCTTTTTCTTTTGCACAATATTTTTCAGTGTGTTTTACGACCATTGAGTGGTTCGCAGTTCATCAGAGTTTTGGTACCTATACACTGGTGAGTTAAATCGTTCTATC